GCGCCCGCAGGTTCCCTCTGCCGCCACCTGCTGGTGGGAAAACGAGTACTGCACACGGGCGGGCGCTGCGCACGTGCGGAGGGGCCACGTGCGCCCTCTGCCGCCACCTGCTGATGGAAAACGCGTACTGCAGGCGGCCGCGGAGCGGGCATGCGCGGTGGCGCCCGCGGGCGCCCTCTGCCGCCACCTCCTGGCGGAAAAAGAGTACTGCAGGCGGCCGACGACCGTGCATGCACGATGGCGCCCGCGGGCGCCCTCTGCCGCCACCTTTTGGTGGAATATTGGTACTACAGGCGGCCGGCGGCCGCCCTCTGCTGCCACCTGCTGGTGGGAAAGGGGTACTGCAGGCGGCCGCGGGGCGCGCATGGGCGCTGGCGCCCGCGGGCGCCCTCTGCTGCCATCTGCTGGTGGAAAATGGGTACTGCATGCGGCCGGCGGCCGCGCATGCGCGGTTACGCCCGCGGGCGCCCTCTGCCGCCTCCTACTGGTGGGAAAGGGGTACTGCAGGCTGCCGGCGGCCGCGCATGCGCGGTGACGCCCACGGGCGCCCTCTGCTGCCACCTGCTTGTGGAAAATGGGTACTGCAAACGGCCGGGTGGCGCGCATGCGCGATGGCGCCCGCGGGCGCCCTCTGCCGCCACCTGCTGGTGGGAAAGGGGTACTGCATGCGGCAAACGGCCGCGCATGCGCGGTGGCGCCCCCGGGAGCCCTGTGCCACCACCTGCTGGCGGAAAAAGAGTACTGCAGGCGGCCGGGGGGCGCGCATGCGCGGTGTCGCCCGCGGAGGTCCTCTGCCGCCACCTTTTGGTGGAATATTGGTACTACAGGCGGCCGGCGGCCGCCCTCTGCTGCCACCTGCTGGTGGGAAAGGGGTACTGCAGGCGGCCGCGGGGCGCGCATGCGCGGTGGCGCGCGGGGGCGCCCTCTGCCACCACCTGCTGGTGGAAAATGGGTACTGCAGGCAGCCGGCGGCTGCGCATGCGCGGTTGCACCCGCGGAGGCCCTCTGCCGCCACCTCCTGGTGGGAAAGGGGTACTGCAGGCGGCTGCGGTGCGCTCATGCGCGGTGGCTCCCTCGGGCGCCCTCTGCCGCCTCCTCCTGGTGGGAAAGGGGTACTGCAGGCTGCCGGCGGCCGCGCATGCGCGGTGCGCCCGAGGGCGCCCTCTGCCGCCACCTGCTTGTGGAAAATGGGTACTGCAGGCGGCCGGCGACCGCGCATGCGCGGTGGCGCCCGCGGGCGCCCTCTGCCGCTTCCTCCTGGTGGGAAAGGGGTACTGCAAGCGGCCGGCTCTAGCGGAGCCACCTGCTGGTGGAGAGTGGGTACTGCAGGTTGAAGGGCGCCGCGAAATCGCGGTGGCGCCCGCGGGAGTTTTCTGCCGCCACCTGCTGGCGGAAAAAGAGTACTGCAGGCGGCCGGCGGCTGCGCATGGGCGTTGCTTATTACGTCTCTTTTTTTTTTGATGTATAATTTCCTACGCTCCTTGATTTTTCTTCATATGTAAATTAAAGGTTTGACCAATTCCCGTTGAAAATATTTCATTTACTTTCTTTGTTGTATTGTCCTTTCTGTGTTCAAAGCTGAGGCGTAAATACGGTAAATTTTGCTTCTAGAGAACACTGCAGTTCTTTTGTCTGCACTCCGCATGCTGTAAACTAGGGATAGGGGAATAAATAAATTAATAAATAAAAGAACACAGCTGCTGCTGCTCCCGCTCTTTTTCTTGTGCTTTGCCCCCTCCCCTTTCCCAGGTGATTGGGTTTGGGTGCTGGGCAGGGTCAAATGTTATAGGAGCCCCAGGCATTCTATCAGAGAGCTCATTCTGCCTGGGCTGCTCTTTGGGGTCGGTGCTTTGTTTATTCTTCTGTTAGCTACATGCAGGGTTCTTTTGGTGGGTCAGAGTCATGTACAATCTTTTAGAGAGAACCAATCTAGTAGTATGTGCATTTATTGCATGAAGATCTTTTGAGGTGATTAATTGTTATAGCACATTTATGGATAGGATGTCAATGTTATTTTATGTGTTTGCTTTGTTGTTCTAGGTCCCTCGTAATTTTTGCAGGGTTACAGGGCAGATGCCACCAGGTCTACCCCTTTTGTTGTTTTTGTTTTGTTTGATTTTTTTTTCTTATTTTCTTTTTCGGAAGGGGGTTTGGGATTTGAGCGTCCTATTTTTTGGGGTTTGGGATTTGAGCGTCTTAATTTTGTGGGTTTGGGAATTGAGCGTCTTAATTTATTGGGTTAGGGGTTTTAGGCATAGGTCTTCAGGGGTTTAGCGTGGTAAATAGTTAGGGTTAGGTCTGTCGAGGTTTCGAGGATTTTTAGAGTTAGGGATTGAGGCTTTTTTGTGTAAGGACGGTAAGGGCTAGGGCTACAGTGAGTGCTGTTAAATATAGATGTTGAAAACTCGGCCTCTGATTGGCCGTGCCGGCTGTGCAGGGAATGCTGGTAGGTGTAGTTTTCCGGCACCAGGCTTCCGGTAGGCCATGTTGGGTGCCCGGAGCATTCCGGGAAATGTAGTTCTGGGACTCCGAACTTCCGGGAGGCCATGTTGGGTGCCCGGAGCATACTGGGAAATGTAGTTCTCGGACTCCGAACTTCCGGGAGGGCATGTTGGGTGCCCGGAGCATTCCGGGAAATGTAGTTCTTGGACTCCGAACTTCCGGGAGGCCGTGTTGAGTGCCCGGAGCATTCCGGGAAATGTAGTTCTGGGACTCCGAACTTCCGGGAGGCCGTGTTGAGTGCCCGGAGCATTCCGGGAAATGTAGTTCTGGGACTCCGAACTTCCGGGAGGCCGTGTTGGGTGCCCGGAGCATACTGGGAAATGTAGTTCTCGGACTCCGAACTTCCGGGAGGGCATGTTGGGTGCCCGGAGCATTCCGGGAAATGTAGTTCTCGGACTCCGAACTTCCGGGAGGCCGTGTTGAGTGCCCGGAGCATTCCGGGAAATGTAGTTCTGGGACTCCGAACTTCCGGGAGGCCGTGTTGGGTGCCCGGAGCATACTGGGAAATGTAGTTCTCGGACTCCGAACTTCCGGGAGGGCATGTTGGGTGCCCGGAGCATTCCGGGAAATGTAGTTCTCGGACTCCGAACTTCCGGGAGGCCATGTTGGGTGCCCGGAGCATTCCGGGAAATGTAGTTCTCGGACTCCGAACTTCCGGGAGGCCATGTTGGGTGCCCGGAGCATTCCGGGAAATGTAGTTCTGGGACTCCGAACTTCCGGGAGGCCGTGTTGAGTGCCCAGAGCATACTGGGAAATGTAGTTCTGGGAGTCGGGACTTCCGGGAGGCCGTGTTGCGCGCCCATAGCGTGCCTGGAAATGAAGTTCTCGGGAACTAGGGTTGGGGTTAGGGACTAGGGCTGGGGCTAGGGTTAGAGTTTAGGGTGAGGGTTGGGGTTAGGGTAAGGGCTAGTGAATGCTGGTTCTCAGTGTTTGCAGATGACGGTGAGTGTGTTTAAACTAATTCCAGTTGAAGAAGTTTCAGTACCTTGCCTGGTGACATTATCAGTTCAACATTAAAAGCTGCAGCAAAAGCAAAAGGGGAGTTTTGCTTCTAGAAACACCACAGGTCTCTTGTCTGCTCTCTGATTTTTTTTGAGATAAAACAGATTTTAAAAAACAAAGGAAAAAAAAACACAGCTGCTTCTTTTGCTCTCTTCCTACTTTCTTGTGCTTTGCCCCTCCCCTTTCCCAGGTGATTGCGTTTGGGTGCTGGGTGGGGACAAAAGGTATATGAGCCCCAGGCATGCCATCAGAGAGCTCCTTCTGCCTGGGCTGCTCTCTGGGGTAAGTGCTTTGCTTTTCCTTCAGTCAGTTGCAGGGTTCTCTAGGCAGGCTGGAGCCTATGGATTTCTGGATTTTAAGTGCTTGGAATTCACTTAGTAGAGGGATGTTTAGTAGGGGCTGCTGGCTCACTGTTTTTTTGGGATGGTGGGATACTCTTCTGTTTTTGAGCTATATTTTAATATCTAGATGTATAAACCCACTTGTGTAACTCTCCAGAGGACTAAAACCAGCTTGACTGCATGCTACATGTGGCTTGGCAGTGTAGATGCAGCATTACTAAGAGACTGAGCAGGGTTGTATCAGAGTCACCTCTTTCATCTGCGTAAGTCTGTGACTACCCCTTCCTGGGCTGCTGTGTGTGCATGTCTTTTTGGCATTTATGGAGCTCTGTTTTTTTTTTTGTGTGTGTGTGTATGTTCAAAGTTTTTTTTTTTTTTTTTTTGAGGGGCAAATAGCGTGTTTGCTGAGCGTGGTTGGCAGGAGGAGGTGGGGAGCTCCTCAGGACTGGTAGGTTTGGTTTCTAGGAATATGAAGCATCCTTCCTGTGCAATGCAACTGATTGTTGGGCGGGAATGTACCAGCTTGTGTGTCTTAAGCAATGTAGGTTGTGTACTGTGTGTTGTGTGGCCCGGGCAGAGTTTGCTGTGGTGCTGTGAGCGAAGAATCTCAGTTATAGCTGGTGAGCAGCTGAAGTACCGGAGCTGGGAAGAGAGGCATTGCAGCAGGTACGCTGTGGCTGTGAGGTGCCTCAGAGTGTGCTTTTCTCCTGTCTTTGCAGGTGCTTTGTGCAGTCGTGGACAGGGAAGGGAAATCCTCATGTCACGAAGCACTGAGGGAAGGTGAGTGTTGTCAGCCTGGTCATGCCTTATCCGAAGCAAAGGGAAGACACTCAGGTGTTTCCCTCAGAGGGTCCGAGGTGAGGCTGTTTGGGATAGAGGAGCAGCGTGGCAGGTGGCTGCTTGCAAGCACAGTGGTTGTTTTGTCCTTTTGTGCTCCCAGGGAGTGTGGATGATGCTGGCCGCTCCTTTCAAGCTTGGACCTAATTGGCAGGTACAGAGGCAAGTGGCCTGCTGTTTTGAAAGGATAAAAGTAAAGATGGGGTTGCTTATGTTGTTGAGGGATGGGTGCTACTGCTGGCAGCTGAATGTTTATATTCTTCCTGCCTTTCTCCTTTTTTCAGGCTGCAATGCAGTGTGCAGTGCAGGATGTCTCAACCAGCTGCCTCTGCAGTGACTCTGGTGCGTGATGAGCAGAGGTAACTGTTGTTTTTGGGGTGCGGTTTTCACTGCAGTTATTTTCCTACATCCAATAGAGTACAATTCCAGTTTGCATTTAAGAGGCGCTATAAGTGGGTGAAGAGAACAGATGGAAGCATCTGCCAGGTGGGGCAGGCAATCGGCTGAGGTACAGGAGGGGATGAGAGTATGTGATTTTTTTCCCGGGGGTGGAATGGAATTAATTTTGTTGGTGTATAATCTGTTCTGCTCCTAGATTTTTCTTTCAATGCAAATAAAAGTTTGAGCTAATTCCATTTGAAAAGGTTCCAGTTACTTGCTGGGTCGTGTTGTCCTTTCAATGTTAAAAGCTGCAGCAAAAGCATGGGGATTGTTGCTTCTAGAAACACCCCAGTTTTCTTGTCTGCCGTCTGCATGCTGTTGAGTAAAAGCAGATTTCAAAAAAAAAAAAAAAAACAAAACAGGAAACACACACAAAAAACAATAACAGAAAAAAACCACCATTGGGTCACTTGTGAACGCAACAATCATTTAATCCCTTTGTTTTTCCAGGTGGAGTGGATGATAGTGGCTGCACTGTTGGAGCTTGGTTTCGGAGAGGAACAGGTGAGCAGAACCGTATGTTGCATCAGCAGTAGTCAGCATTGTGGAGAAGGTGGGCATCATGGCCGACGTGCTAGTGAATGCTGGTACTCTGTTTTTTGCAGCTGATGATGAGCCTGGCAATTGACTAAGATGACAATCGGTGCCTGTGTATTTCTTGAGGTGGAAGGAATTTACCATCCAACAACCTGAGAGCTAAGTTGGGGGGCGCCTGGTATTTGCATATCTGGGGTGGCTAATGGGAGCTGGGAGCCAGAGCAGCATGGAGCCAGCTGGCTGAATAGACTTGGTGCCACTGTGAGGGTGTTTCAGGCTGGGTCACGTTCAGGCTGCTTGTGGCTGGGTCACCAGGCTAATAGAAGCAGCGGGATTATTTCGTAGCGTGAGTGCGTGTGCCAGGCAGGACAGTTTCCTTCAGTTTGTCTGTCTTGTGGTGTTGCTTCTGCAGTGTGTGTTGTGAGTTATGGTCTCCTTCGGTCTTGATATCCTCATGGGTTTTGACACTGGACTGACCAGACAGGCGACTTGGTAGCTGTGCTGAAGGGCCTCAATGCTTGTTTTGTCATCATGGCTCTGATCCGAGCACTTCTTGTCTTGCAGTCGCTGCTTGAAGTGTAGATGTGTTTCAGGTCTTGTTCATTGTATTCGGTTTGAGATCACATCTGTTTCCATCCTCACTCTTGCAGAAGTCATCTGGGGCACATCAGGAGCCTTTGCTTGGGAATTGATTTCCTCAGTGTCTTCTTAGGGGGTTTTCACTCCCCATCCTTCTGGTCTCTTGTCTTGAAGGCAGGCTTTTTAGGCCTCCATCATCCCAGTTCTGGCAGTTCTTCCAGTCACATGTTGAGACGTTTGAGTGTCTCCTTGGGTCTGGTGTAGAGCACCTGTTCTGACTTGCTGTTGCCATAGGGCTTCCCTCTGGGGTCACTTTTTCTTGCGCCTCGTGTTGTGTGTTTTGTTTGTAGTGTTCGTGGCGTGCTTGTGTGTGTATGTGTTTGGTCTGGAGCTGTCCTGCCTGGCAGTTAGTGATTAACATGGCAGGTCATGGGTGTACTAATACATTGTCTGGACTGTGTTTTCGAAGACATCTGGTCTGCCTCTGGGCACGTACTGAAGGGCAGCTGGCACAGTCATCTCTGGAGGTTGGCAGATGGGGATTTGGGAGAGTTGAGCTGCTTGTGAGCAGCTGTGTGCATAGTGCTTAAACGGTGTGCTTGAGGAGGTCTGTCGAATCTTGAAAGCTTACAGATATGGGGTTTTGAATTTTTTATTTTTCTTTCCTGCCCCCAGTAGAGTGTAAACCCTAGGAGGAACCTGTCACAGGAAGGAGCTCCTTCTGGAACTGTCCAGCACTCGGTAGGCAACTTGGTGACTGGCTTGATCTACTTCTGAGGTGCTGAGGCAAGGGGGCTGCTGTTTTGAAACGATAGTTGTAAATGGGGTCCCTTTGTGTTGTTGAGGGATGGGTGCTAATGCTGGCAGGTGAATGATTCTCTTGTGACTGTTTTCATTTGTTTAAGGTGAAACACAGTGTACAACACGGGACTTGACCGGAGCTGCTTTTGGCAAGGTGAGCGATGGACAGATGTAGCAGGTACTTTAGGGGTGCAGTTGTCACTGCAGTTACTTAACTGCACAAAATACAGTAAAAATCCTGATTATATTTTAGAGGTGTTGTAGCTGGCTTAAGAGAGCAGATGGAAGCATCTGCCTCGAGGGCAGGTGAGGGGGGCAGATGTAAGGCAGCAGATGAGAGTAACTGTCCCAGCTGTGCTGTGGCTTTGGATGCTGCTTCAGCCTATGTTTTTCTTTTTGTTTCACAGGTGTGTCGCACAGGCTGAGTGGGGCCAAGCTGCACTCTGAAGAGCAGCACGAGAAGGGCGGGCTGTTTGTGAGCTGGATTGGAGCAGAACGGCCGAGTAGCACGAGGTGAGTGCGAAGGGTATCCGTCTTGCTTTGCAGGTGCCATGGCAGGCTCTCCACAGAAGCGGTTGAGGATTTGAGAAGAGGTTGCAGATGATCAAGGAGCAACACGTGCAGGGATGGCTTGAAAATGGTATGGCTACTTTCTCTTCTGTTTATCAGGTGTCCCAGGCAATGTGGGCTGTGATGTTAGTGTTTAGAATCGGAACAAAGCAGCTGCTGCTGATGGTCTTCTTTGGTAGGCGAAGAGGTGCCCAAAGCCCCCTCCTGTGCAGCCTGAGCATGCCTTGCTGAGGATGAAGCCTGCTTTCCAGCAGTTCTGAAAACTGTGTTGAGGCTGAAATGCTGCGTCTGTGTTTGGGTTGGCGTTGTACCTTGGTGAGTGTAGGGATGGGTTTTAATTCGGTGCAGCGGAGGGCCTGGCCTCAGTGTCCTGTAGTGTGTTTTGACCCATCAGCATAGCCTTTTGGTTCTGATAGCCTACTGAAGTAAGTGATTTTTCCTGTGAGTGGAACGGAATTGATTTTGGTGTATAATCTGTTCTGCTCCTAGATCTTTCTTTCTGTGTAAATAAAAGTTTGAGCTAATTCCAGCTGAAAAAGCTTCAGTTACTTGCTTGGTTGTATTGTCCTTTCAGTATTCAAAGCTGCAGCGAAAGCATGGGGATTGTTGCTTCTAGAAACACCCCAGTTCTCTTGTCTGCACTCTGCATGCTGTTGAGCTAAGCCTTATAAATAAGTAAATAAACCACAGCTGCTGCTCCTCCTTTTTCTACTTTCTTGTGCTTTGCCCCTCCCCTTTCCCAGGTGGTTGGGTTTGGGTGCTGGGCGGGGCCAAATGGTATATGAGCCCCAGGCATGCTATCAGAGAGCTCCTTCTGCCTGGGCTGCTCTTTGGGGGCAGTGCTTTGTTTTTCCTTCAGTCAGTTGCAGGGTTCTCTAGGCAGGCTGGAGTCTATGGGTTTCTGGAATTCTAAGTGCTTGGAATTCACTTAATAGAGGGATATTTAGTAGAGGTTGCTGGCTCACTGTTTTTTGGTATGGTGGGTTATGCTTTTGTTTTTGATCTGTATTTTAATCTCTAGATGAATCAACCCACTTGTGTAACTCTCCAGAGGACTAAAACCCGCTTGATTACATGCTAGAAGAGGCTTGACTGTGTTGGTGCAGTATTACCAAGAGACTGAGCAGGGTCACGTTTTTCATCTGCAAAGGGTATGTCTGTCATTACCCATGCCGGGGCTGCTATGCATTCATGGCCTTTTGGCATTTGTGGACTTGAGGTTTTTTTTTTTATTTGTCTGGCTCTGGTCTCTGTGTTTGAATCCTCTGCTAGGAGCTGCACTGTTTGCATATCCATTGTGGTTGTGACCTTCTCTCTTTGTTTCTTGTAGGAACGCAAGGCATAGGCACGGAAACTTGAACGAAGCATGAGGGTGAGTGGACAGCAGTGGGGGCCCCGAGTTGGTCGGTGGACTGTGTTATTCTGCTTCACCTGTCGGGCTGGCTTTGCAAGTGCCTTGTGACAGCAGAGTACGTCTCCTGCCACGTTTCTGAGACATGCCAGACGTCAGCGGTTCCAGTTCCTGAAATGCTGGAGATGCTCGGAGCACAAGAGGAGCTGGGAGCATGATGCATCTCCTGGGGATGTTAGGTGAGTGAAGCGGTGGTACTGGGTTCGGCCACGTGGCTCTGGGGCTTCTTGGCTGTTGCAGTAGGGGACGAAAGGAGTGGGTATAGACTGTTTTGTGGATTGTCACGTTTCTGTTCTTCTTGGACTAAGCCCCGTGACCTTGGCTCAGCACAGTGAATGGAAGCGCTAAGCCTGGATCGGGAAGGTGAGTGGAGAAAATTTGGAAAACGGGTATTGTTTTTGCTGTAGTAGTCTCTTGGTGCACCTCTGGGTGACTCCTCTTTTGCAGGGACGAAGAAGGTCCTGGGAACATCCTAGCTGGCCTCTGTGGTGCACATTGATAGTGGATTCTGAGCCCTGAGAATTAAGTCCAGGGGGAAATACTGTGTGTTGTGGAGTGGTTGGCAGAGGGAAGTGGGGAGTTGTTTAAAGGGTGTCTATCTGATTTCATTAGCAGAGCAGGTCAGTTGATTACTGTTTTGTTTCTGAGGAGGTTGTTTCACTGGAAGAAATTTGGCTAGTGTGCTGGCGCCTGATGGCACTTCATTTCTGCAGGTGAAGAGGAGCCTTGTGCCTGAAGCAATGTCCTGGCTAGCCTTTGTGAGCCTTCCTTGGTGAGGATGGAACCTGCCTCCCAGCATTCCCAAGCTAAGTTGGGGAGGGTCGGGAGGGGTGGGCAAATGCTATGTTTGAGTTGGGGTTGTGAATGCACCCATAGGGCGAGGGTTTGTGCTTTTAAGTCATTGCTTTGGATGGGGCCTTTCAGGATTGATCAGGTCAGGCAGAGAGATTATGTGTGGGGAGTTCTGTCATGTACAGTGTGAGCGCGTGCCAGTCAGGGCAGTCCCAGCTTGTCATCTGTGTTGTCTGTGCTGTACTGTGCTGTTGCTCTTGGTGCCCGGCAGGCCCTGGGGAAGCCATCCCAAAGGTATTGAACACTTGACCTCCTCAGAATAATGCTGATGTTGAACTGGGAGCTGAGCAACGCTTGTGTTGCAGTGGGAGCTTAAGGGGATCACTTCTACTATGCGATTAATAGTTTTTTGTATCAAACATGTCCTGATATGATCATCATATGTTACGTGTTCCTCAGGTCTTGATATTCTCATTGCCTTCTTCCACTGGACAGACAAGACGTGCAACTTTGTAGATACACCAAAGGCCCTAAATGCTTGTTTCGTCATCGTAGGGCTGATGCGAGCGCTTTTTGTCTTTAAGTCGCTGCTTGAAATGCAGATCTGTTTCAGGTCTTGTGCATCATATTCGGTTCGAGATCGCGTCTGTTTCCATCCTCACTCTTGCAGAAGTCATCTGGGCCGCATCAGGAGCTCTTGCTTGGGAATTGATTTCCTAAGTGTCTTCTTAGGGGGTTTTCAGTCCCCATCCTTCTGGTCTCTTGTCTTGAAGGCAGGCTTTTTAGGCCTCCACCATCCCAGTTCTGGCAGTTGCTTCCAGTTGCATGTTGTGACATTTGAGTCTCTCCTGGGGTCTGGTGCAGAGCACCTGTTCTGTCTTGCTGTTGCTGTAGGGCTTTCTTTTTGGGGGTCACTTTTTCTTGCGCCTTGTGTTGTGTGTTTTGTTTGTAGTGTTTGTGGCGTGCCTGTGTGTGTGTACGTGTTTGGTCTGGAGCTGTCCTGCCTGGCAGTTAGTGATTAATGTGGCAGTGCATGGGTGTACTAATACATTGTCTGGACTGTGTTGGTGAAGACATCCGGTCTGCCTCTGGGCACTTGCTGAAGGGCATCTGGCACAGTATATGTGTTTGCGAGCAACTTCTCGTTTACCTCTATTTATTTAAAAAATTGTAAAATTTAATTGCAATCCAGTTTGGGACCCAGTCATGTATGACACCAGGGGGCTTGTCCAGGAGGGCTTTGGTTCCTGAATTCTTATTTGATCTAGGAGAGGCGCCCCAGCATTTGGTGGCTGCTGTTCAAGTCTGGTCGGGACTAATGGCATCTCGAACCTGAATACAGGTAAGCTAAGGTTTTGATTTTTTTTCAGCTCCCTTGCTGGCTGCAGCACTATATTTTGCTCGTAATTCTGCGTGTGAAGATCTGAATGAAGACAATGGAGTCGTAAGTGTTTAAAGCGTATACTGTTCTGTTGGATGGGTTTTGGTTGCCTGTGTGTGTAAGAGTGTGACTGAGACGGAATTTAGTTCCGAAGCGATTGTGGAGGTCTTCTTTACCACGGTTCCAATGTCCCGCGGGGGACTTGGCCGGTGAAGGACCAAAGGGATTCCCAAAGAATTTGTGGGTGGGTGATAGATCTTAAATCCTCTTTAAGACACTCTTATTAAGGTAACCAAGGGCTGTGGGAATTGCCAGAGTAACATTCCTAGATGGGTGAGACAAAACCGAAGACCAGGGACCAGAAGAAAGGGAGCAAATTACCAGACATACCACCAGAAAGTCCATTAGGAATAACAGTTAGAAACTGGAAGGAGAGAGGCCCCAGTAACGTAAAAAGTAAATAAAACATGGTTCAGTCTTGTGTGATAGAATGGCCAAAGGAGCCTTTAAGACCGCATGTCTTTCGGCCCGTTTTTGGATCCTTTGAAGACTGTATTTGTCAGGCCTTAAATACACATGTTAATTCGAAGGAACCTTTTTGCCGGGGAGAAAGTGATTATGCAGGATTATGGATCAGGATGACTTCATGTCCTTTTACGGCCTTAATATTTACACTAAAAGCAGGTAAGAAATTTTGAAGAAGAAGAAGAACAGGAAAAATAAAAAGATAATAAACGGGAGCCGTTGGATAACCTACCGTCTCCATATCGTAACAATCCACCTCCGGTGGTGTACTGGGTCTGGCTGGAATGTTAACTTTCCCAGCAGCAGCCCATACAGTGCCGTACTCTGCAGTTGTAGCTGGAACAGCAGTGTTATCACACCAGTGTTGTGTCTACTGCTGAGCAGCAGTGGCACAGCATTGGGCCTTTCTCTAACCCTCCTAGGGGATGGGCAAAAAGCGAGGAGAGAAACATCACTAGGGCAGCTGACCTAAACCAACCAAAGGGATATTCCATACCATGGGATGTCACACTCAGCAATAAAAGGTGGAAACAGGAAGAAGAGGGGAGGGGTGGGCTCTCGTTGAGAAGACGTTGGTCCTCCTCTGGAACACCGGCTGCGTGCGTTGAGGCCTTGCATCAAGGACGTGGTCAATCATCGCTCATTTGTGGGAAGTAGAGAGCAATTTCTTTCCTCTGCACTTCCATATAGCTTTCATTTATTTTGTTTGTTTGTTTTCGTCCCTTCTTTTTATTTTCCCTTTTCCCCTCCCTTTTCCCCTTTCCCTTTTTATTTCCCCTTAGTTAAATTGTTTAGTTCATGGTAGTCTTTATTTAATTATTATAATTATTTCCATTTAATTAAATTATCCTTATCTCAACCCGTGAGTTGTTCTTTGCTTTACTTCTCCCCCTCCTCACCTAAAGGATGCATTCATGAGAAGTAGGACTGCCGTATCTGAGAGAGCTCCTCTATATCCTTTAAGGGAGGTAACTGGTGTATAACTGGGTTGGAGTTTTAACAGGGTTTTAAGGGTTTCAGGGTTAGCGTGTTAGGGTTTTAGAGTTCTTTTTGGGATGGAGTGTCGCTATGTTTTTTAGGGTTAGGGTCCTAGGGTTTTATTTTTGGTCAGTTATTTAGGGTTAGTGTGTTAAGATCCTTTTTTTTTTTTTTTTTCAGGTTAGGTTCTCCAGGGTTAGAGTTTCGAGCGTCCTAATTTTTTGGGTTACGGTGTTGAGCGTCCTAATGTTTTGTGTTAGGGCTTTGGGTGTTAAGCATCTGAATTTTTGGGTTAGAGTTTTGCGCGTCCTGATGTTTTGAGTAAGGGTTTTGAGCATCCTAGTGTTTTGGGTTGGCTTTGTGTTTTGAGCATCTTAATTTTGGGGTTACGGCTTTAAGCGTCCTAATCTTGTTGTTTAGGGCTTTGAGAATCCTATTGTTTTGGGTTTGGGTTTTGAGCGTCCTAAGTGTCCTAAGGGCTTTTAGGCATAGGACTTCAGGGGTTTAGTGTGGTAAACAGTTTGGATTAGGCCTGTAGGGGTTTCGAAGTTTTTTAGTGTTAGGGCTTGAGTCTATTTTGAAAGGGCAGTAAGTGCTTGGGTTCCAGTGAGTGCTGGTAAATGTATTTCTCGAACGCTGGGCCTGTGATTGGTCAAGCCAGCTGCCTGGGGAATGCTGGTAGGCGTAGTTTTCTGGCACTGGGCTTCCGGGAGGCCATGTTTGGTGCCCAGAGCATGCCGGGTGGGGGTTGGGGGGTAAGGGGGTCGGGTGTTAAGGTGGGGGTTATATCTGTTAGGGTTAGGGGGTTAGGGTTGGGGGGTCGGGGGTTGGGGGGGTAGGGTTAGATCCGTTAGGGTTGGGGGGTTGGGGGGTCAGGGTTGGGTGGTCGGGGGTTAGGTGGTTCCATGGGGTGACCCCCCTATCTCTGCCCCCCCCCCCAGACAAGGAGGAGACGAAGCTGAAGGGCGTCATCTACTTCCAGGCCATAGAGGAGGTGTACTACGACCACGGGCGGGCGGCCTGCAAGGTGGGGGGGCCATATGGGGCCGGGGGGGGGCTGTATGGGGCCAAGGGGGGGGTACTTGTGGGGCTGGGAGGTTGTGGGGAACATCTGGAGAAGGTGCCTGTAGGGTTTGGGGGAGCACCTACAGGGTTTGGGGTGGGATCTGTGTGGCTGGGGGGGGGTCTCTGTGGGGCCGGGGGGTTTTGGGGGGGTTGTGACCCTATGGGGTGCCCCCCCCAGAGCCCCAACCCGCGGCTGACCTAGCATTTTAGCGTGGCCGCCGTCCACCAGCAGCTTCATGCCCGTCTTCCGCTCCCAGTGGCCCGCGGGGCGCCCGGTGGCCCTACCGGTGTCACCGGCGGCGATTTTGGGTCAACGGCAGCGGTTTTGGGGTTTCGGGCTGGGGGGTGCTGACATGTCCCCCCCGCACCCCCCCAGGCATCCTGGCCCTGCAGGTGCCCCCGGGGGGGCTCGACGCCGAGTTCTACAGGTGAGAACCAGTCCCCTCCGCCCCCTAAATGCGCCCCCAGACCCCCCCCAATTTATTCCCCCCCCCAGCGCCTGCCTCCACCTGGCCGAGATGCAGCGTCGGGTGCGGGAGGCGCTGGCGGAGCGCGAGCGGCTGCTGCGGGCACGGGTAGGACGGGGGGTGGGGCACCAAGGGGGGGGGGGTCCATGGGGCTTGGGGGGACCCCAAGGGGGGGGGGAACCAAAATGAGGGGGGAACCAAGTGTGCGGGGTTCGGGTTCCGGGGGGACACATTTGCGGGGCGCACCGGGGGGGGAACCAAAGTGAGGGGGGAACCAAGTGTGCGGGGTTCGGGTTCCGGGGAGACAAATTTGCGGGGCGCACCAGGGGGAACCAAAAGGAGGGGGGAACCAAGTGTGCGGGGTGCGGGTTCTGGGGGGACACTTTGGTGGGGCGCACCGGGGGGAACTAAAATGAGGGGGGAACCAAGTGTGCGGGGTGCGGTTGCCGGGGGGACGCATTTGCGGTGCGCACCGGGGGGGAACCAAAATGAGGGGGGAACCAAGTGTGCGGGGTGCGGTTGTCGGGGGGACGCCATTAGGGTTAGGGTTGGGGTTGGAGTTGGGATTCGGGTTAGGGTTAGGGTTAGGCCGCCCCCTGCTGGTGGAAAAGGGGTACTGCAGGCGGCCGAGGGGAGCTCATGCCCGGTGCCGCCCGAGGGCGCCCCTCTGCTGCCACCTGCTGGTGGAAAAGGGGTACTGCAGGCGGCCGAGGGGAGCTCATGCCCGGTGCCGCCCGAGGGCGCCCCTCTGCCGCCACCTGCTGGTGGAAAAGGGGTACTGCAGGCGGCCGAGGGGAGCTCATGCCCGGTGCCGCCCGAGGGCGCCCCTCTGCCGCCACCTGCTGGTGGAAAAGGGGTACTGCAGGCGGCCGAGGGGAGCTCATGCCCGGTGCCGCCCGAGGGCGCCCCTCTGCCGCCACCTGCTGGTGGAAAAGGGGTACTGCAGGCGGCCGAGGGGAGCTCATGCCCGGTGACGCCCGAGGGCGCCCCTCTGCCGCCACCTGCTGGTGGAAAAGGGGTACTGCAGGCGGCCGAGGGGAGCTCATGCCCGGTGACGCCCGAGGGCGCCCCTCTGCCGCCACCTGCTGGTGGAAAAGGGGTACTGCAGGCGGCCGAGGGGAGCTCATGCCCGGTGCTAACATGTCCCCCCCGCACCCCCCCAGGCATCCTGGCCCTGCAGGTGCCCCCGGGGGGGCTCGACGCCGAGTTCTACAGGTGAGAACCAGTCCCCTCCGCCCCCTAAATGCGCCCCCAGACCCCCCCCAATTTATTCCCCCCCCCAGCGCCTGCCTCCACCTGGCCGAGATGCAGCGTCGGGTGCGGGAGGCGCTGGCGGAGCGCGAGCGGCTGCTGCGGGCACGGGTAGGACGGGGGGTGGGGCACCAAGGGGGGGGGGTCCATGGGGCTTGGGGGGACCCCAAGGGGGGGGGAACCAAAATGAGGGGGGAACCAAGTGTGCGGGGTTCGGGTTCCGGGGGGACACATTTGCGGGGCGCACCGGGGGGGGAACCAAAGTGAGGGGGGAACCAAGTGTGCGGGGTTCGGGTTCCGGGGAGACAAATTTGCGGGGCGCACCAGGGGGAACCAAAAGGAGGGGGGAACCAAGTGTGCGGGGTGCGGGTTCTGGGGGGACACTTTGGTGGGGCGCACCGGGGGGAACTAAAATGAGGGGGGAACCAAGTGTGCGGGGTGCGGTTGCCGGGGGGACGCATTTGCGGTGCGCACCGGGGGGGAACCAAAATGAGGGGGGAACCAAGTGTGCGGGGTGCGGTTGTCGGGGGGACGCCATTAGGGTTAGGGTTGGGGTTGGAGTTGGGATTCGGGTTAGGGTTAGGCCGCCCCCTGCTGGTGGAAAAGGGGTACTGCAGGCGGCCGAGGGGAGCTCATGCCCGGTGACGCCCGAGGGCGCCCCTCTGCCGCCACCTGCTGGTGGAAAAGGGGTACTGCAGGCGGCCGAGGGGAGCTCATGCCCGGTGACGCCCGAGGGCGCCCCTCTGCCGCCACCTGCTGGTGGAAAAGGGGTACTGCAGGCGGCCGAGGGGAGCTCATGCCCGGTGACGCCCGAGGGCGCCCCTCTGCCGCCACCTGCTGGTGGAAAAGGGGTACTGCAGGCGGCCGAGGGGAGCTCATGCCCGGTGCCGCCCGAGGGCGCCCCTCTGCCGCCACCTGCTGGTGGAAAAGGGGTACTGCAGGCGGCCGAGGGGAGCTCATGCCCGGTGACGCCCGAGGGCGCCCCTCTGCCGCCACCTGCTGGTGGAAAAGGGGTACTGCAGGCGGCCGAGGGGAGCTCATGCCCGGTGACGCCCGAGGGCGCCCCTCTGCCGCCACCTGCTGGTGGAAAAGGGGTACTGCAGGCGGCCGAGGGGAGCTCATGCCCGGTGCTAACATGTCCCCCCCGCACCCCCCCAGGCATCCTGGCCCTGCAGGTGCCCCCGGGGGGGCTCGACGCCGAGTTCTACAGGTGAGAACCAGTCCCCTCCGCCCCCTAAATGCGCCCCCAGACCCCCCCCCAATTCATTCCCCCCCCCCAGCGCCTGCCTCCACCTGGCCGAGATGCAGCGTCGGGTGCGGGAGGCGCTGGCGGAGCGCGAGCGGCTGCTGCGGGCACGGGTAGGACGGGGGGTGGGGCACCAAGGGGGGGGGGTCCATGGGGCTTGGGGGGACCCCAAGGGGGGGGGGAACCAAAATGAGGGGGGAACCAAGTGTGCGGGGTGCGGGTTCCGGGGGGACACACTTGCCAGGCGCACCGGGGGGGGAACCAAAGTGAGGGGGGAACCAAGTGTGCGGGGTTCGGGTTCCGGGGGGACACATTTGCGGGGCGCACCGGGGGGGGGGAACCAAAATGAGGGGGGAACCAAGTGTGCGGGGTTCGGGT